ATGTCGAAATTAATTATGAATAATATATATAACTATACTTTTTGAAAATTGTTTTAGAATAATTAATAATATAATTAATATACAAAGTAGAAGTTTTCTTATTGTTATTCATTCTGACAATTTATTGTTTATATTATTTATTATTCTGCGAATTTATTAATTCATGACTTCGAATTATTCTTATGGTAAAACATTTATGTATATAATAAAACACTTTCCCAAAGGAATAATCATTCATAAGAATATACTGATGTAATACAAAAAAAGAATGAATAGAGATCCATTGAATGTTAATAATACGATGATGATGCTAGAGAGAAAAAAAAAGAATTTCTGAACGAGAAACGAATGTTTCATCAATTGGTTCACATCTATGAAAGAGAAAGGTGATCCTGCAAGGATTAACGAGCCGATTAGCAAACCGATATTCGCGTTAAAGGAGCTGACCTATCTCGTGAAACCGCACCTTTCTATGGATTGTTCTATGATCGTTGTGCTTTCAATCCATTTCGCGAACGTCTTCCTTCTTACGTCGGGAAAATACTATACTCTAGAACATAAAAAAAGTTGTTCACCTTTTCGTTATTCATAATGAATAGAAACCTTTTGATTCAATGTATGTATATAAGTATGCGTGAACGCGTACAAAGACCACAGAAGAGACAGTTGCAACGAAAGAACAGCAGGCGCACGCCATGATCGTAAATAACCTAAAGCTACCCGAGGCGACGCGTCGAGAATAATAATAACAATAATAATAATAATAATAATATGCAACGATTATGCTCGCATAGATCAGGGTTTATATTTACTCTGCCGATAGGCTTTTCGTCCGTAGGATTTATCGTCCCTCGTAGTTTGAGGAAGATATTATCCTACGTGTTAACTTCATTTCTGTTTCCTTAAATTATCCTAAACGTTTACGCTGATTTATATCTTTGGTTCTTCTTCTTATCCACGAACCAGTTATAATCCCTTAAACTAGGAAGTATCGAGGGTATGTTTTTTTTTTTTATTTATGTTTTACGGTGTGATTCAAGTTTTATCTCGTATTATATTTATTACTATTTTTGTATAATTTTTCTATAACTTTTTTTGTTTTATACGAGAAAGTCACGTTAGTTCTTTTTTCTTTCTTCTCTTCTTCGAAATGAAAATAAATCTTCGATTCTCTACCCTTTTTTGGTTAATGTCTCGATCATGCTATATTCTACTACTTTGGAAGTTCGCTTCATGCTAGAGTGATCGTGTAGATCTTTTTTCTTTCTTTTTTTTTTCCAGGACGATCGAGGACAACCACTTTGATAGTTGTTTCACGCTGCTATACTTCCGTTTGATCTTACGAGAGTATCGAGTATAGTTTTAGTTCACTTTTGAATTTATCGAGATACATAATTTCATTATGTAATATGGCAAATTATAATCATAAGATCGTTTTATTATTCTTTTGACATATTGAAATTTGATTAATTAATCAAAGTATATTTAATAAGGCAAATATAATATATCTTATTTATAATATATTTATTTATTCATACTTACGGTAATTCTAACTGGATGGAATTATTTTGATCAAAAAAGAAAAAGAATATAATTAAATCATTATCCGTTAAGAGAAATCATAATTCATAAACAGTTTTCTCTATGCATAACGGGGTATTACATTTTCCTAAGTTTAAAAGGCATAACGTTTATTAGGCTTATTACTAACGGGAAATTCTCCAAGTAATAATTGACTTATCTGTATACAACCAAGAGAAAAAAAAACGTTAACCATATTTTACATGTCGAATGAAATTGCGTTGGTTAATAGGCCATAAGGAAAGAACAGCTGTTCAATACCTTGTGTATTTGAAAAACTAATAATACATTACATATTGCAATTAACGTAACATGAAAATTCTATAAGAAATAAAAAATTATTAAATATGATCTGATTAATCCTTTGAATTGTATGAAGAAGTTTTTATTTAAAAAAGAAAACGGGAAATGTAGGAATCGTTGTTTATGGTGTAATTCGTCGATAATATTCGAGATAAAATGACAGATTAATAAATCTCAATGATAAAAGTCGTGTTTCAACGAATGATGAAGAGAAACAAGTAACATATAAGAAGATGTAGAAAACGTAGAAGACGTAGAAGACGTAGAAGAAGAAGAAGAAGAAGAAGAAGAAAGGGAAAGAGGATGTTTGATGATAGCGCGTCGAAATGCGTGCGCCTAAGTTTCGAGTAGTCGTGCGAGCCCTAAAGGTATAACGCAGCATCCGACACCCAAACGGCGGAAGCGACGATTTTAAGTGCGGGCTGAAAGACATATTTCTGGCTAAGTTCTATATTTATCCTATGGTGTGTGTGCACCTATGCGCTGGGAAAGCGCTGAGCGATTTACGCGTCTGGAACTCCCGGCATTCCTCGCGACTTTCTTTGTGCTTCTTCTTCCCTAGGGAAGAAGAAGAAGAACACCACCACCACCACCACCACCAACACCACACTTCGTTCATTCGTTCCATCGTTTCTTCGTTTATTCGTTTAAAACCACCATCACCACCATCACGAATAAGAGACCCCTTGCGCGTGTCATCTTCTTCTTCTTCTTCTTCTTTTCATTTTCCTTTTTTTCCTAGTCTCGTCGCGCGTAGCGACTTTGGAATTTTCCTCCGAGTATTCCCTTCACCCCCGCTGACCCTTATCCTCATCCCTCGAGCAACCACCTACGGCAGACGACGACTACTGGCCAACTGACAATGACACTGCGAATCTCGACTCTCTATTTTATTTACTTCTTCTTGTACCCTTTTTGTTTGTACGTTGAAACTAAATTTCTATTCTAGCACACATTGTTGACTAGCAATGTTTTATTGTTTTTTAAGTTTTTTTAATTCCCATGGAGAATCCTATAATGAATCATCATTTAGAAATCTTTCTTATTGTATCAAACATTTGCACACCCATTTCTCTAGGTTGTCCTTACCATAAAATAAGACACGATCGGTGATTTCTCTTCTTCTTCTTCATTTTCTTTTTTTTCTGCTTTTGGTAGAAGATACCTTTTGGAAGATTGGACTATGTGGCCAACAGCCAGAAGATTTCCACGAGTTTTCGAGAGTTATAAACGCGGTATTCGACTTAGTGTCGGCAAATCTCGTCAGCTAATAGCAATAAGCAAGGAGATCATAGGCGCCGCAAACCTTAATGTGGCACCCACCACTCAGCGTGCATCGCTCGTTACCATTTATATCGTCTCAACGGAAACGAGAGTGCGAGCAACCGACGATCATTATCGTTGTGTCTGCTCGTGGAACGTCCTCCTCCTCTTCTTCGAAAAAGGGTGAGAGTAGGAGGAAGGGGGTTTGTTAGAAAGCTCTTCGCGTCGCGGTCTATGAATAATTAGCCTAAAGGGATGAGAGAAACCAGGCCACCAATTGCGTTTCGATTAGTCTTTTTTTTCTACTGAAATATTTTCTAACTTTTTCTTCTTCTACTTCTTCTTCTTCTTCTTCTTCTTCTTTTGATATATCACATTTGTCTTTGGAATATTTTTTTTGTAGGGTTGTAACTACAAATCGAAAGTTAATTTTAACATTAAAGTGTTCGTGTTAGGTACACAAAAAATATAGTCTAATGAGAGTGATGTTGATATTTGAAAAGGGGCGAAAAAGAATTTGAATGATTGGATAATATTAAATAAAATAAACTATATAAACTTTTTCCAATGAGATATCATTATTTAATTAATCATTGAATCATTAATATAATTCAATAATGATGATATTGAAGAATAAAATTTGAATCAAATGAACGATTAAACATATTTATTTTATTTCTATATCCAACAACATTCAATCCTAAATAATCAATTAACATTAATGAGATAAATTATCAATTAAAAAAATTTTCAATGAGAATAAGAAGATAATAATTGGGGAAGGTGTAGAAAGGGAGAGCGATATCACCGTACGTACGCACGTGGCGAATGAACGAACGTCGATGGGTACGTACGTGAGCCCTTTTATTTTGGCGCCACCTGTGCACGTTGAGGAATACGTTGACATGTATATGTGTGTGTGTGTGTAAATATATATGTGTATTATAGGAGCGTGCGCGAGAAAACGAACGGCGCGCCACGAGGTCGTATAATACCGTCAGTTCTATTCGTCGTCGCAGTGCGATACGGTCGATAGCATAAACGAGAACGGTTTGCCATAGTGGGTTCCTCTCCTTAGAGAATACTACGTGCCCTTTCTCCTATTCCTCTTCCTCTTCCTTCTATCCCTTTTCCATCTTCTTCTTCTTCTTCATTCTCTTCCTCTCTCTCTCTCTCTCGAACCCTTTACTCGATCCCACTTTTTACCAGTGGAAAGTATACCTAATACGTAATTCCACCCCCTCCATACACACACACACATAGACACATATTACGTTCGTATACACACCCTTTCAGCGCCATCGAGAAAAAGGAACGGAAACGTTCAGCGTCCATTTCCTTGCGTGATGTCGTCGACGAAAGACCTTTTTTCTTTGCATCAAATAACTTCAATAATTTCAATTCATTTGTCTGTGATTAACGTTTGAAATTATATTCATTGGAATTGTGAATTATTTTAATTGTTTATTGATTACTTTTTTATTTCATGTGATAAATAATAATTATTATCGAATGTGAGCAATGTATTCATTGAAATAAATAAAAAGAAAGATAAGGGCTTGTTGTGCATTTCGAAGAATCTGAATGTGGGAGGAATATCAAGGACGAATATTTGTAGTACTCGTAGACAAAAAGAACGGGAAATTGGTAACACGTGTTACTCCCTGTGGATTCTTCGTACGATAAAACGTAAAAAAGAAATAGAGAAAAAAAAATAGAAAAGAAGATAACACGCCCCTTCCATTAATAACTGGACAAACAGACATAATTTTATACCTAAACTCAGAACTATATATTTATCTATCATTCCTTTATGAAATATCATATTATTTCGAAATGGTATTGGTAATACTAAAGAATAAAAAAAAGGTGAAAGAAGAAGAGGAAGGAGAACAAAGAAAAAATACAATCGAAAGATAGAAAATAGTAGCAACAAGTAGTTAGAAGGGTTAGACAAAATCAAAGGTGGTGAGACAGGTATTTGGATAATAGTGGCGGGAGGTTGGTGGTGACTTACGAGAGTCAAAGTGTTTTCATAGGCGGGAAATTTAAAAAATCGAAGGTCATATCGTCGTCATCATTCTCCTCATCGTTCATAGTTGTCACATAGTCGTTGTTATATGTTAATATCATTGTGGTAGAAGAGAAAGCCGACTAGTGGTTATCGATTGGTCTGCGACTTCAAGAGGATGCACCCTTCTGAGTTTAACCTCGCAGTCACGTGCCAAGAGGCGGTGCTGAGGATCGGAACGAGCGCATAGGGCGAAGGGGGGGGAGGTGGCAAACGAGTAAGCAAGCTAGCAAACCAACCCCCCATTGCTAACGTTCAAACGAAAAAGGGTGGAAAGCTGAAAGCTGAAAACCGGCTTTTCCCGGTTACACCGTCAAACCGTTGACGTCGTCTCCGTCGTAGTTGTGGAAAATCGATTGGGTGTACTCGGCCTACCCCACCACCACCACCAATCCACCCTCTCATCCTTTGCTGCAACCATTCTCCATCTAGTGCAATGACCTCCAAACCAGGAAGGTCCTACAGCGTAAGGTAAGGATGATGATAAGGATGATGACCACTGTCCGATAAATTGCAATAAACAATGTTTTTTTTTAATATTTTTTTTACCTTCGTAGTCTTTTGATAGAAAATATAGTTAATTTTTATTCAGAGTTTCAGAGACGATTATTTTTTTTTTGTTCTTTTTGTCACGTTTCCGTTCTTTTTAATGTTTTACAATTGTATCGACTTTTATTTTAATCGGATTCGTCATATTTGTTATTAATGAATCATTTAAAATCAATCGATCGAATGATGGAGTATAATTATTCAGCTGTTTAAATAAATAGATTTATGATTGGACCGGTTTAATAATATATTCTTTGTTCTTAAAAAAAGCTGATCATACATAATCGTTACGTTAATTAATGACGAAAAGAAAAATGTAAATGTTTCCTCGCTGCAAGGCCGGCTTTCTTCCAAGAGTTGATGATAAAAAGAATGAGTTCGAGAAACCTAAGTTAGTTTTAAAAGAAGAAAAAGAAATGATTTCTTGTTTTACTGTTCGACGAGAAACTAACTCTTGGATCTTTCCACCCACGTCGCTGAACTCTTGAACCCCAGTCACAGCTACTTTTATTCTAAGAACTAACATAAGAGCCGTGTGCCGGTTCTACCGATACGAGGAATCTTTTAAATCCCGTTCGTTCTAAAAAAGAAAATATAGAAAAAGAAAAAGGATCGAATTTACGAAAAGTGAGAGTAAGAATGAGAGATCAAGAATGAACACAAGCGTGTAATTATTATTTCCCTTTGAGTGAATCCCTTTGTTGTTAAACGCACTACTAATGTATCCCATAATTTCTCGTGATAGTTCTTTGCCCTCTCTGTTTCACCACGATATCTATTTTTGTCTAGAGCAACGTACGAAAAAGCCATTTGATCGATAATCGTTAATTAAAATCCCTCTCACAGTTAGTTGCACCGTCTCAAACTGTAGACACAAATTTATCACGGTGTTAGACTTTTTTTTTGTTAAAGGGTCAGGGTAAATAAGATATATCGTTCGAGTGCACTCGTTTCTTCGTCGAGATACATTTTATATATATGTACATGTATATAATATGATGCCAACACATAAACACATATTTACTTCTTGTACTAAATTTCTGCTGACCTATTTTTCGTTAAAAGTATAAAAGAATTTCCGAGGAATGATATCTTGGACTGGTTTAAACTCGTTCGATTATTTCTTTATCGTTGTTCTTTCTTTTACTTGAGAATACATTTGCCAAGTTTTTATTCTTTTTTCTTCATCGATCATATTTAAAAATACATAAATCATATGCATAAAACAAAGTATTGTGTGTCAAGTTGTTGGATGATCAAACAATTTCTGACAACGTTATAACTCTTTGGGGCACGGTGGAATTAAAAGTGTGTCATCATTTTGATGCACTTTGAAATATCGCAATAAATTCATATTTCGTTTTATTTAATATTTTCAACAAATGTTGCAATTGTAATTAAATTATTACTCTTTCTTTTTTATATTTTTACATTATATGTAATACCTCTGTTTAATAAAAATATACACCAATTTTGTTTTATTTAAAATTCAATAAAATTTCTATGCAACATAGGATTATTTTAATATCTGAAATTCTGTGTGCAACAAAGAGTTAAATATAAAAAAAAAAAACAAATATATAAAAAAGAAAAAAAATAATAATGAATGCAAAATACTTAATAATACCATTTATTATTTTTAGAAATAAAGTGGACATTAATTTTTGGACACGGTGTCTGTCTGTAACTATTTATTTACAAAAAAAAAAAATAATAACCGAGGTATATAACTAAAGAGAAGAAGGAGGATGAGGAGGTGGAGGAGGAGGAGGAGGAGGAGGATATTATTTTGAAGCCGCAAGGCTCGATCATTTGCTATTGGTTAGAGTTCCTTTTCTCACGATAAAAGCGAAGCGCGAGAACGAGAGATGAATTTTTAAGGCTGCACCCAGTTTACTTGCGAAAGGTTGGTTCGTTCTTTCGAAGTAAATAACCCGTCGTATTAAAGGTCCGAAGGGATCGTCTTGTGTCGGTTATGTTTGAATGGCCGATGGCTAGACAACGATTTCTATCGAACGGTGTGTTCCGTCTCTTACTTTCGTCATTATCGCTGCATCATGCTCCAATCTTAAGAAATAGAGTCAGTTGTTTGGTTCTAGGGTGAAAGGCTTGGAATAATCGTGAGAATTATAATTCTTCTCTATTTTTTTTCTTTCATACAATAATTTTTTTAACATAAAAAAATAAAATATATATATTTATATAATCAAGTAGAAAAAAATTCGATAAATTATACTAATATTGTAAAATATTACAATATTATGTTAATATTATAAAGTGTACTAATATTGGAATACAATTTAGTATACTAAATTACAACTACTAATATTAATATTATTAATTACTACTAATACTAGTGTATTATATAATAATCGAACAATAATAAAATCGTCAATCGGTCACATAGCGGAAGTTAGGATTTATGCAATGACCATGACCTTGAACTTGCTCAAGGCCTTTTCCCAAGCGCGTAGACCGGTACAAAAGTTTACGAGCGTGTGTTAACTCCCACTCCTTTAACCCAACACTTTATGCACATGCGATACCAATAAAAACATTCCTTTTCTGTTTTTTTTTCTTTTTTATCTGCCATCACCTACCTCTTGTTATTTTCGTTCATCATAACAGCTTTGAAAGTAAATTACTGCGGGGTTCTTTTAATATCGATCGAGTTAATAAATTGACTTTTCTACCTGCTGCATTCGTTTAGTTCGTGCATAGAAATTTAATAAAATTTTTTTATAAACCAGAATATCTTTGTTAGGAATATTTGTTATATTTTTTTTTATTTATAAAAAAAATTGTTTTATCTTCAAGGACTTCTGTTCTTCTTTTTTCTCTCACTGGAAATTTCTAGCACTAAATTATTATTATTATTATTATTATTATTATTATTATTATTATTATTATTATTATTATCTGTATCAGCTTGTAATAAAGATAATTCACTCATGTGAGTATAGTTTAGCTCGTTAAAATGGACGATACATGTTTCAGTACCACACCTTCATCGATACTTCTTATATCATCTTATGCATCTTCAGATATTTATAACAATGAAAAAAAACCTATCACATAAGTGAGTCTCTCAGTGTTTCGATAAGCTCTGGTAGAATTTGAAAAAAAAAAAAATCTCGAGAAAGCTATTTATGGGAACACGAGAGAAAAAAAATGATAAGATATCTTTGTATTTGATTTTTTTTTCTTTTTCTTTTTCTTTTTTTGGATCGAATTACATTACAGTATATTTCAGTTAGAAATTGTTTGAGTTTTTGTTGAAATATTATTTTGCTTTATTTAAGTATAAAACGTGATACGATAATAATCTGGAATGTATACATTCAGCACGTTCAGTATTTAAAACTACTCGGCCGTTTCGTTTGACCCTAAAACCGATACGTCTATCGTAAGACGACTCGGCTCTATTTTAATATTTCTTACGTGTGAAACATGATAATGCAAAAAAAATTGTCGAATATCATTAAACTTCAACTATGTTTAACTTACAATAAGAAGTTTTATTCTTCAAAGTAATAATAAAAAGATTAACAAAAAATTATTTCAGAATAATAAAAATAATCAATCGTTTGAATTTAATTAAACTTTGTCTATAATTTTGTAATTATTTTACTCATCCGAATTTAAAAACAAAATATATTAATTTTATCAATTTTCTTTTTTGAACATTAGATTTTTATTGTGTATTAAAATATTTCAAATGATTAGTCTTGCGATCTTTTATATAAAAAAAAAAAAAAGAAAAAATACAATATAGATTGTTTGGATTAAAAAAAAAAAAAAGAAAATAGAAATGGAAAGATAGAAAATTCAAATAACACGAACGTGTTCTAATGTATTTGAAAATCGATTTGAAATCAAACAACGCACACGTGTTTTGTGATATCCAATCGATTTTCATTTTATCATTACACCGAATGTGATATTTATTTTTATATGAGTCAACGTAGATGAGCAATCAGAATAAACGTCATTTCTGGGTTAACTGTTCACGAAGGAAGGTCCTAACGAAAATTTATATTCGATAATATTTTCGTGATAAGCCAAGCCACGTGTGTGATTGGCCACACCTTTACGGATAAACCAAACTATGATCAATGTTTTGGGGCGTGCCGTACCATGTTTTTCACGTGAAAGATATTATTTTTTTCTTCTTTTTCTTCTTTTTCTTCTTTTTATATTCCATGAAGGTCTAAGATTTCTTTCGACGTATTCGACAAAAAAAAAACATACAAATTTTAATACTTTTATACGGTAGAAATCGTCGTTTACTATGAATAAATTCGTACGATCGCGTATATAAAAATAAACTCGTAGTTTATGCAGCCGGTTTGTATGCAAATAAACGATATTTTTTTCTTCTTTTTTTTTGTTTTTCAATCGAATCGATATTCGACTTATACACTAAATCCAGATGAAATTGAGGGTACGAAAATTCGGAAAAAAAAGAAACATCTATAAAGTACTATTTATTTTTCTATTTTCTACAAAATATTTAAAGTTAACACGAGTAGTTTGCAAACTATAAAATATTGAAACAATTTTTGCAATAACTTCACCTTTATATTTATGGCTGTATTTAATATAATTTCATTGAAATTCAAAGTATTATAAAAAATTATTCATTCTGTAAATACTTTTTTGACTTACGAGAAACTTCAACGAGTTCTAATAAAAGAAAAAACCCTTCTATTGAAACATTTAAGAAATGTTACAGAACATTTTGTTTCTTTTATCGTTATATCGTTAAATAAATCCTCGAACGAGACTCCTCGTTAGAATAAATTACTCGACAATAGAATAGTTACGTAACAAGTTGACTAATTATCGGTCATTAGGCGAAACCGGTGGCGCGCGTTCCTGGTTGCGTCAGTGGTAACCTATTTGCACTGTTCTCTTTCTCT